GGTCCAACTCGTCGAGTGCATGAACACAACTCGGCGAGTTGGATGCATTTTGCCTTGGACTCGTCGAGTCCCTTCATGGACTCGGCGAGTCTGCTGGGCTGACAGCACCAATTTCGATTTTTCAGCTTCTATTGCAGGTATAACAAGAAAACAAGCCTAGTCTCTGATACCACTGTTGGGTTATGAGCATTCTAACACTCCTAAGTGTACATGCAACCCTAAATACCTTGGATCTATGTTTTCTCTATTATACATGCAAATATGAACATCCAAGGTATTATCCTAATCTAGCATACAAAATAATGGATATAACAAGATAGAATACATACCTTTTTCATGTAGAAAGTCTTCATTAAGCTTGAGTGCCTAGTGCCCCAAGTGTGACACCTCAAATGGTTCACACAACACCAAATACACTTGGAATAACTTGAGAGAATTCTACACTTCATAAAATCGGCTAGCCCTCTCTAGAATAATACTAGTGTCTCTAGTGGCCGATTTTCCTCAAGAATAAGATGCTTATATAGTTATACAATTAGGGTAAACTCTAATTGTCATGACTTTCCATTTCCTTGGATCCATGGGTTCAAATATACCATGGAGCATCCATGGAGCATCATACGGGTTTTGGCCCAACTAGATAATCCATGGAGCATTAGCCCACTATACAAGTATGGATGATTTACACAATCAACCCATATATTTAATTAGTCTTCTTTTGATCACTTAATTAATCCTAGATTAATTCTTGATCAATACTAATTAAATAATCTTATTATTCTTATTATTAATATACTAGAACTTATAATATATTAATAACCATAAGTGTCTTATTTCTCTCATTATAGTCTATCCAAGTGCATGATGCCATGCAACCCAAATGGACCATGCCGGGTCGGGTCAAGTCTTACCAATTATAGTTATGGACTTAGACATTAATCCAACATAAACATCTAAAAGGAAAACTCAAATGTCTTGGAGCATTCCATGCTCACAAAGGTCAAGATTTGGGACAAAAGGGACCAATTTTAAGATAAATCTAAATCTAAAAGAAATGCTCATCAAGGTTGGAGCTCTATACCCCCAGGAGATACACAAAGAAATGTAGATGTTGGATCCAAGGCCTTGAGTGAAACACCACAGCCTTAAGGTTCTTCCTTCTTCTCCAAAAGCTCCAAAATGGCACCGAAAAGCTCTTTAAGCTTCACAAGGCACTCACACACTTTAGGGTTTTGAAATGAGGAAGGAGGCTGGAGTTAAGAGGGTGCATGAGGCCATAAAGATGTTTAAATAGGACCTAAACCCCTAAAATTAAGGGTTTACACCCTGGCTACGTATGCCCAGCGTACTTAGAGTACGCCCAACATACTCTTGCATAGCCAATAATTATGAAAATGCCATTGGGGACCCACTTTGCAACAAATCACAATCCAATGGTCAAAAGAGAATAGTTGAAAAATTAAGATTTTATAGGAACTCCATATCGTTTTTACTAGTTTCGGTATTCGAGATTCTCGGATCGATACCGATTTTGGTAAATTCACATCGATATATGTTTGTATACTAATGGGTGTAAATGCCACATAGAATGAAATGTGATGGAAACCCTAATGCAAAGTTAACCAAAAACAAGATGGACAAACATATCCCAAACAAACCGTCAGCCCACCTGACCTCGACCTAATCACGATGTAGGCAAGCAGTATGGTCAACCTCGACCGGATAGACTTTTAGGTTTGTATTGTTTATCTCCTCAACCCACGTTACGATGGGGTAATCCAACGACAAGAGCTATGACTCGTCACCACCCTTAGCCCAACAATGGATGGTTGCCAGCAAATTAGAGACAAAAACAAACCATGGTGCTTGGTCAGAGTGTTTTTTTCCAACCCAAATTTTGAAGTGATCATTTTATTATTTTAATATTGTGATTGATACCCGAGAAGCACATGACTTTGATGAGACTAAACATATCATATAAACAAATAGTTTTCTATATCATATAAACAAATAGTTTTCTATCGGGACTCCTATAAATATCTAGAAGTTGTGTAGAGACACGATTGAATACAATAATAACTATTCAAGGCGAGTGTTAGCCTTTATTAAAATGAGTTTGATAACAAACATTGTGACCAATTTATAACATATTTTAATATGGAAAATACTAAAATGAACTTTTTTAATTTTTTTAGTTGTTTATTAACGAAGTAGTTTGATTTTTGTCCCTATAGTTTTTTATGTAATCATTTTTTGAAAGGATGTTTGTGGGAGTGCGTATGTAGCAAGGTTTGCTTCTTTTGAATCTAGCGACATCAGCTTTGAAATTCACATTCTCGGATACAAGTCTCGTTTAGGTTTTTCTCAAATATTGGAACGTTTTGAACCTTAAGAAATCTTGCAAACAAGAATCTCTTGTTACACATATGCATCCCTTGACAATGTAAACATTGATAATTGTTCCGTAGAGCTTGCATGTTTTCCATAGTCCCCCTCGTGTGAGTTGTGTGGAAAGTTTTTGAAGTTGAAAGTGATAGCCTTACTCTTAAGGCTTAACGGTATGGGTGCAGTATGAGATCGCACTTCATTTCACATGGACATGGAACACCGCCCCCAGACCATGGTCTGGTGCGGTCTCGGTCGCAGTGCGGTTAAGGACTACCGTGCAATGTGATTGGTCCTTCATGTTTGACTGGTTTTGACCGTTGAATGGTCTTTAATGGTTTTTTTTTTACTATACATACACACACACACACACACACACACATATATATATATATATATATATATATATATATATATATATATAGAGAGAGAGAGAGAGAGAGAGAGAGAGATCCGGTAAGAAATTTTTTTTGGTAAAAAGGTAAGAACTTTATTTTCTACATATTTTTTTGACGAACAAAATAAACGAATCACTAGATGATTCATTTGTAAGATGATTCACAAGAAAAAATTCTCAAAAAAACATCTTTATGATTCATTTTTAAGTAAATTAAGAAAAAATTCATTTTTATGATAATTTTAGTGAATAACAACAAATTCATTGTATAAATGAATCATCGAGATGTTTTTTTGAGAATTTTTTCTTGTGAATCATCTTACAAATGAATCATTTGATGATTCATTTTGTTTGTTCGCGAAAAAAATATGTAGAAAAAAAACTTCTTACCTTCCTACCAAAAAATTCTCTTCTTATTTGATCTTGACTATATATATATATATATATATATATATATATATATATATATATATATATATATAAATTACCAATTTACACAATATTTTTACACAACTTTTTATCATATCTCTACTCCTTTTCTTTATTTTTATTTGAAAAATGTCATCTTCCAAACGACCTAGCAAACAAAAAACACCAGTCAGAAATACAAACACCCCAGTACCTTCGTTTGTTCAACCGATTTTTTCACCTTTGTATTACCACTACGGCGGTATGTTTCCGTATTTTCCACAACGACCAGGGCAACCACAACCATAACCACAAACACCATCACTACCACAACCCGAATCGGATTTTAATCCATTTGATTTTTTGTCCCAACCCGAGTTTGTTCAACAAACACAAACACAACCAGAAACGGTCGTTTCTGATTCTGAACCGAAATTCATTACAGAAACTCAGCCCACTCGAGCAGCGACTAAAAGAAAAGAGAAGGCGGAGGCTAGATGTTGGGAACCTTTGGAAACGTTAGTGTTGGCACAATCTTGGATCGATATTTCAGAAGACGCGACGGTTGGAAAAGACCAAAAGCATGGCTGCTTTTGGATTCTCGTTTTACACAGGTTCCATAAAGGAATGAACCGTGGAGAATACCGTTCAAAACATCAAGTGTACTCCAAATGGGGGAAGATAAACAAGGAAGTCATGTTGTTTAATGACTTGTGGAACAACATGAAACATCAATGGAAAAGTGGAGAAAACGATGAAGTCATTTTGAAGAAAGCGTTGAAAGTGTATCAAAAAGAAAATCTAAAGGCTTTCAAGTTTCTTGAAGTTTGGAATTTTTTTGAAAGATAACAGGAAATGACTGAGTAGCAAAACATCTGACCAATATATTGACAGTGGGTTAAAACACAGCAGAACATCTGAGTCCGACCACACTGCATCAGATGCTCGTGTTCAATTTGACCTGAACGAAGATGAACCTGTTTCAGTTTCACTACCTTCTCGACCATTGGGAAGAGACAAATCAAAAAGTAAAGGCAAAGGCAAAGTGTCGGATTCAAATGATTTGAAAGAAATGGGAACCGACATAAAGGGTATAAAAGACAGAATGGACAAGATTTTGAAAATTGCTTCTGAACAAGAGCTTCGGAAACAAAAGGAGAGCGACATGCGAATACTCGCGATGGACACGTCCAATATGACCGGACCGAGCTTGAAATGGTTTTGGCGATGAAGGAGGAAGTGAAAAACCGTTACATCAATCATGGCTAATTTTTAGTTTTTTTTTTTTTCAAGTTTTTAATGGTTTCTTGTATGTTTTTTTTTTAAGTTGTAGGTTTTATGTTTCTACTTTGTTTTTCTAAATTTTTAGGTTTTTTTTTAATTAAGTAATGTATAGTATTCGTATTTTTAATTAATGAAATATTATGTTTTTAAAATTATGTTTTTTTTTTATTAAAAAAATAAGTTTTATTAAATTAAAATAGTTAACAAAAAAAACAAACAAAAAAAAAATAAAAAAATAAAAAAATAAAATAAAAGTAAAACTGTGGCGCCACACCCTTAGTGTGCCAAGAAACCACACTTGAGTGGTAAAAAGTGACATAACGCTTACGTGGCGGGGGAAAGAGTACGGTTTCGGTGGCACCACTTCCTCTAGCCTAATGGAGTAATAAGAGATGTGTGTTTAGGTCTAATTGCATTATAAGAGACCAAAAGGATCAGTTCTGTAAAGATCAAAATTTTAGGGGAGTGAGTGAAAATTCTCGGTCTCCGATAAGAACTTGTCGTGAGTAAAATGAGGTGTGCATTTAATTAGTCGACCTTTTTCATGTTTCTCGATAAGAGTAGGCTTTACTGAAAACGAAGAAAGACCAATCCGTAAATATATCCAAAAACATAGGGCATTTTCATCAACCCAAATATCTCCAGCAAAACTCAACATAACATTGAAGGCGAAGATCAAACAGACACACAGTCATATATCTAGCACCTTTACACATTGAAGAAAATAACGGTTTTCATGATTTTTATTACTCCGTTTTCAGATTTTTGAATCTATACACTGTTCAATCTTCGTTACATGATACGGTAATATTCATCTCCAGATAGATGTACTTGCTGTTTTTTTGAATATTTAATTTCGTTGAAGTGATTTTTTGTCGAATATTCGTGATTTTTCACCTTTTACAGCATCGATATTAATGGAAATTTGATGCTGTGATTGTGTTTGACCGAGAAATTCAGTGCATGCTTGTATGCACGTCAGTTACGTTGAGTCGTCTCTTCAAGTGTTTGCTGTCTTTTGTTTGTATGTACAAACTGGGTATGAAATTGAATGCGTGCGTTAGAGTGTTTTTTATCCTTGAAATGTGATTTTTATACTAAAATTGTGTGGATGTTGAAGGATCGAGGTAATCGTGAGTGGCCACTGTAAAGTCATATCTGTACAAAAGCTAAAGATACAAACACAGAGGCAGTGATTGATTGTCATGTCATTTGATTTGATTACGTGTTTGTTAGCAATTAATTTTTATCGAGAACTTTATTGTCACTGGATTTGAGATTTCACTTTCGATTTCTATTCTAATCTCTGATTTCCTACAATAGGTCGCGGAAAGCAGTTCACAACAGAGTTCCGATTTCCGAATAGATCCGTTGATTTTTTGGAAGAAGAGCTCAAATCAGCTGAAATCTACTTTATAACCACATTCAAACTTTGAAGATTGTAAGAACAATGCACGAACAGTTGGCGTCGTATATCATGTGCTTCAACACAGTCGATTGACAATTTTGGTCAGGTTTCAGAGATCCATTTTTGGAATCATTTGCTTAAAACATTACAAATTCGGAATATCCTATAACAAATTTGGTGAATACGAACTCCCACGCCTGTTTTGATTCCTTTCCAAGGGTTCTTTCATTATTAGAAAAAAAACCTTTACCGGTGAAATTGCTACCAGTCAAACGGGTTTTTCCCCTAATTTTTGGAGGTATTCACCTAAACCGCTGTTAAACGACAGCTTGCATAGTTCTACTGGTACGTCTACCAGGAATCAAAACCTTGTGGTGGGGGCCGATTGACACAAACACAATAATGCAAACTCAGTTTTTTTTCCAGTTAAAGTTTGTGAAACACCTTGCAACTTATGTTCCGTTGTCCTTTGAAGAAATTATGGGAATCTGTGTGATGTAGTATTATCCGGGTCGGATCTATTGAAGAAGGAATATCTTCAAAATCGAATTTTATTATTTTTTCTGGGATCAATGAGTCAAGAAGATAAGATGAAGAAACTAGAAAAGGGGTCGGATGCTGCTGAGAAGGTCGTTGTTGCTGTTAAGGCATCTCGAGAAATCCCCAAGACTGCTTTGGTTTGGGCTTTGACTCATGTGGTTCAACCAGGGCACTGCATTACATTGCTTGTTGTCATGCCTACACAAACTTCTGGTAAAATTATTTAATCTCTTAATTTTAGATTTTTTTTTTTTTTTTTTCTGGAAACGAAAATTCTATCTTCTATATAATCAAGTTAATTTTGGTCAACTAATCCGTTTTTCTCCGAAGTAGGTCGGAAATTATGGGGTTTTCCGAGATTCACCGGAGACTGTGCTAGTGGCCACCGGAGGTCAAATATAGGAACAAGTTCAGACCAAAAAATCGACATTACAGATTCATGCTCCCAAATGATTCTTCAGCTTCATGATGTTTATGATCCTAATAAGGTTCTTGTTCTTTCTTCCGTTCCTAACCACTTAATATTTAATAATCTTTTTGGTTAATAAATTAAATAACTTCTTTTATCTAATTAATATTTTACAGATAAATGTGAAGATTAAAATCGTTTCTGGATCACCATGTGGATCAGTAGCAGCTGAGGCCAAGAAAATTCAAGCCAGCTGGGTTATATTAGACAAGTAAGCGAATATAATAATTTAATATTTTAATTTCTTATTTTTCTTTCACTTACTTTTTTCCCATTACATTACAGAAAACTTAAACACGAACAAAAACGATGCATGGAAGACTTACAATGCAACATTGTAATAATGAAGAAATCACAACCAAAAGTTCTACGCCTAAACTTAGTCGGGTCACCCAAAACCCAACAACCCGAACCCGACCCATCACCACCTTCCACAAATCAATCATCTCATGAAAAACAAACAAAAAACAAAAACCTCGATTCAATTCGATTATCAGTGGTCACTCCAACAAGTAGCCCAGAAGTATTCACAGCAACAGAAGCCGGAACTTCATCTGTCTCAAGCTCCGATCATGGAACTTCACCATTTTTTCTCCCTCAAACTAATCACAGTCTATTAAAAAAGGAGAAAGGAAAAGAGAATCACAATGACCTAATCGAATCAAGTTCAGATTCCGAAAGTGAGAATCTTTCATCAACATCATCAAGCTTAAGGTTTCAATTTCAACCATGGATGGTTGACATCATCACTCAAAATCAAAACAGAACATTATCAAAAGTAGATCGTGACAGCAACCATGGAAGCCATAGAAGTGAAGTGGAATTCAGTGGGAATGTTAGAGACGCGATATCTTTATCATCTAGAAACATCCCATCGGGCCCACCTCCTTTGTGTTCAATATGTCAACATAAGGCGCCGATATTCGGAAAGCCACCAAGGTGGTTTACTTATGCTGAGCTGGAGCTTGCGACAGGTGGATTCTCACAAGCTAATTTTTTAGCTGAAGGAGGATTCGGGTCAGTTCATAGAGGGGTGCTGCCCGACGGGCAGGCAGTTGCTGTAAAGCAACATAAGTTAGCAAGTTCTCAAGGGGATCAAGAATTTTGTTCAGAAGTTGAAGTGTTGAGCTGTGCACAGCATCGGAATGTTGTTATGTTGATTGGGTTTTGTATTGAAGATGGAAGGAGACTCCTTGTTTATGAGTATATATGCAACGGGTCATTGGATTCTCATCTTTATGGTAATTCCGAAATCACCCTTTTCATTAATGGTCTTTTTTTTTTTTTTTTTTTTTTAATTTTTTAGTAATCTTTTTTAGGTCGTCAACGAGAGCCATTGGAATGGGCTGCCCGACAAAAGATTGCGGTGGGGGCTGCCCGGGGACTGAGATATCTTCATGAAGAATGTAGAGTCGGTTGCATTGTGCATCGTGACATGCGACCAAATAATATTCTAATAACCCATGATTTTGAGCCTCTGGTATATTTTTCTTTTAAATAAATACTTATTAACGTTGAATTTTGAAGTAAAAGAACCGAATATAATATTAAAAAATAAAATAAAAGGTAGGGGATTTTGGGCTGGCGAGGTGGCAACCGGATGGAGATACCGGAGAAGAAACAAGAGTAATCGGGACATTTGGGTTGGTTTTTATTATTCTCTTTCTTGTGTTTTTGCATTTCTACATAATATTTTTTTTATGATATGGTTAAATTAATTAATGGTTACATTGGTTTTTTTTTACAGATATTTGGCTCCTGAGTATGCACAAAGTGGGCAGATAACGGAGAAAGCAGATGTATACTCATTCGGGGTTGTATTAGTGGAGCTTGTTACGGGGCGCAAAGCAGTGGATCTTAACCGCCCAAAAGGCCAACAATGCCTCACGGAATGGGTATTCACCTATTATTTTTCAAGGCAACCATTAAATTATTAAATTTCATTTATGAATTAATTAATTATTTATATATTTATTAGGCACGACCATTGTTGGAAGAAGATGCAATCGATGAGCTAATTGACCCACGATTAGGGAACTCATATTCAGAACAAGAAGTTTACTGTATGTTGCAAGCTGCTTCTTTGTGCATCAAAAGAGATCCACAGTTGCGCCCTCGCATGTCGCAGGTAAATACTAAATAGTAAATACTATAACTTTTTTGCTGAGTCGGCGTGGATTTATTTATTTATTATTTTTTTTAAAATTATTTATAGGTGTTACGGATATTAGAAGGTGATATGATCATGGATTCGGGTCATGGGTATGATGTTGGAAACAGAAGTGGGAGGATTTATATGGATCATCAACATGTGCAACATAACGGGAATGAAATGAGCGAGGTATATGAAGGATTTGGTGGAAAGGTTTCGGTTGATTCAACTCGGGCTTCTTATTGGCAAAGGGAAAAAGCAAGGAGGACTTCATCTTTATGTGAAGATTTAAGGTAAGGTAAAGGAGGTTAGATATGTTGAAACCAACTTATTTGTTCATCATGTATGATTTTTGTGGATACAGGACATGATTAGTTTTAGGGTTTTTGTAACTCATTCTCAACGAAAAAAAGTGCACCAAGTTGGGTATCAAATTGATTTGTAGATGGAGGTGGCAAAAAATGATATGACATGCTAACTCAACATAAATTCGATATGAGATAAAATATTTAAATCTATCCGCTTAATTAAACCGAGTAATGTTGGAGTTGAGAATTTCTATTTGAAAATGACTCATTATTTATATGTAAGTTTTTGAATTTTTAAATAAACTATAAAAACCAAATACAAAACCATATGTAAAATAAAAACAAACATCATTTTTAGTTTTTCCCTTCTCTCCAAAAAAATATATATAATACATTTTCTCAATCATTCCATCATCCATACCATTTCGTCTCCCAACTCCTATTATTTCTATTTTGCCATCTAAATTTATTACGACTCCCAACTAATATTTTTTCAAGTTCTTTCCTTTTTTTCCTTTCCTTGTGTCCACCTACTACTTTTTCAATGTCTTTCTTGTTTAGTATTTCTACTACATATTTCAATGTGTAGCCTTAACCTGAAATTAGACATGGAATAATAAATAGATTGACATGACATTATAATTAAACGAGTGAGATTAAAATCAAGTTCTCTCAACTTATTTGCCGTTTGACATAACACGTTTATCAGTTCTACGAATAAGTGGTAATCGAGATTCTGAAATCTCCAAGCCTAGCCCAAAATTAGTTACAAAGTCCCATTTTTTAAGAGGGCTGGTTGTGGGCCTTCGAAAAAATCCAGATGAATTTAAAAAGACAGCTATTGTTTGTTATTGTTACATCCCTATTTTTTGTTTTTCTTGGTCCCTATCTTATGTAAAAAGATAGCTATTTAAATAGGGAAAAAATTGTAGGGTGGGTAAGGTAAGGTGAGGGGATGGGGTTGGGGTGTGTTTATTTAAATAAATTAAAAAATCAAGAGAAAAATAGACTTTTTATGTAAGATAGGGACCAAACGTGTAACAAAAACAAACAGTAGGGACCTTCCGAGTTAGAAAAATAAGTTAGGGACCAAACATGCAAATTACCCTAAATCATAGGGACCATTCGTGTAATTTGCCCTTAATTAAATAATATTTTTATCATTTTCTAACCATCAATTTTTAAATTTTTTTTTTCCTATCATCTTCCTAAACATTTAAGCCGATATTTGTTATATTTAATAAAAATAATAATTTTTTTATTATATTTGTCATCATCTAAAATGGATACAAAGATTGATAGAAAAAAAAAAATAGGAAGATATTCAATTTATATAAATAATTTGCCTACGACAATTAAGATCAAGGACCGGTTGTAGAATGCCTGGTTCTATATTTATATTTTAAGATTAAATTTTAGGAAAGCATCATAAACACATTTTATTATAGGTTAACTAATGGCGATGCTATTATATTTCATTTATGTCTATTAAAATACTTTATTTGTTGAAATCGTCTATTATTTTGTTACGTGTTTTCCCTTAATGATGTTTATAATAAATTGTGTTTTCTTTTTTTGGTATTGCAAGACATTTAATATACGTTTCCTGTTTAGATTGAAAAAGCAAGGGACTTTAAATAGTAATAAAAAAAGCTCAACATGGGATTTGTGGATGTATTGAAATTATATGAGAGTTTTAATAAGCATAAATCTAAGGCTATAGGGAGGTTAAAAGTCTCTGTCATTTTAATTTTTTTTTATTAATAGTAAATTTTATAGATGAACTTCCACCGTTGACAAATTTCAATGGTACACTTTTTTTTTTTATTTCTTGATATGTATTGCAATTTTTTTTCTTCTTTTTTCTTTTTAACATAAATACCTCTATAAATACCATTGGTAAATTAAATAATAATAATAATAATAATAATAATAATAATACCACATCCCATCAATAGGACAAAAATTGTAAAACCTTATGTGGTGTTTATGTGGCATTTTTTACTATTGAAAAAAACAACATTGCACCCTTTAGCCTAATATAATGGTTGTTTGTTTCTGTAATTGATAGGGGTGAGCAAACCCGAACCAAGAAATCAAGAAACCGACGAAACCGAAACCGAATCAAAACCGACGGTGTGGGTTTTAAATTTGTAAAAACCGACTTTCCGGGTTCGGTTTCGGTTTTGCCCCCAGAAACCGACCCAACAACCCAAGAAACCGACCCCTCTTTAAAACCGAGAAACCGACCTAGCAAACCCGCAAACTCGATGCTTTTTACTGATTATATATATATATATATATATATATATATATATATATATATATATATATATATATATATATATATATATATATATTAAAAAAATAAAAATAAATAAAAGAAGCTTAGGTGTTTTTTGATTATTTAACTAATTGTTACGTTTCTGGAAAATGGGTTCAACCCAAAACCCATGGGTTTAAACCCAGAAACCGTAAGTGTATGGGTTGAACCCAAGAAACCGAGAAACCGCCCAAACCGATATCAGAAACCGAGAAACCGATCCAACCAGAAACCGACCCTATTGGGTTCTGAAAACCAGAAACCGATCATTTATGGGTTGGATTGGGTTGGGTCCAAAACCGACCCAAACCGACCCATGCACAGCCCTAGTAATTGATATCATAGATTTTTCTACGTCAACCAAATTAATATGGGTGATTTTCGATAATAGCATAGGATATATATTATTTTTCTGACAGTCAACCAAATTAATGTGGTTTAAAATAAACGATTTTCTTATATCATATGTATTTTGAAAATCTATAACTCTTCAATTTTAACACTAGGTGAAAACTAACTTTTGATTAATCCGTAAAATTAATTGTTAGTTGATAAGCTATTTCATAAAAAAAAATAATACTATTTAGTAAAACTAGCTATAAAATATAAATTAACATAAACAAATATAGAAGAATAATTTAATATTAAAAGACAAGTGCGTAGTATATTTTATTAAATTATATTAAGTACCTAATAAAAAAGGTTCTTTAGTTATTATTTATGTTTAAGTGAAAATTTCTTCTATCCCATTTCATATTACAATATTATCACAAATTTCATGCATCTCATGTTACGGCTCTCGAATACTATTTTGACTAAATTTTGAACAATCGTCTAAGAAATTCTTTATTTTTGTGATAAGATTTTAATCATAAGATAATCGCTCATCAATTCAACCAAGAGTTACCTGATCCGGCCTCTTTATTTTTGTTAGAAGATTAAAATCATAAGATAATCGCTTATCAGTTCTAATCTGTTGATTTTTTTTTTGAAGTTCTATGACGTGCTAGATTAAACTAACCTAAGGAATTACAAACTTATTAAAAGAATGTTTGATATGATCATATGAATCTAATATATACATCTACAAACAACTTTGCTCGATCAATTTGGAATTTCCCTTTCGTGCACAAACAGAATCTCAAGTAGATACAGAAGTAATTTCGGTTAAAAAAAAAACAATCAGCAGCTCCTCCTATCACGAATCACGTTTCTCACTCAATAATGAACACAACTTAGCAGTATAACAGGAAATTAACAAACACAGAGCTGCAACTGATACTGAGAAAATACCTTCTCTACGGTGAAGAAGCAACCAGATAGCCCCCTGCTTCAAGGCCATCTTCATCCAAAAACAAGTCATCCGTCTTCCTCAAAACAGCGTGAATCACAACAAGTACAAGTCCACCCAAAATCGACAACAGTATGTTCAACGTGGCGTTAGTCAAGAGCAGCAAAACAATCGTAACAACAGATAGAACCCCAAGCACCACACGATCATCGATCACACTGTGGCAAATCGTTAGAGGTTCGTCGCGGAGGAAATAGAGGAACAACCACGCCGCCATCAACACCGTGAATACGATCAACGAGGTCGGATTCCATAACAGGCTCAGGAACAAAATAATGAGCACAACAATCGCATAGTTCATGCGGAAGTAGCCGATGTTCGTTTTAATTCGAGAAAACGCGTCGGAGATGCTTTGGGGAAAGTTAATCGAAGCGAGGTTGAACATCTCTTTCCATGGCCGTCGGGTGCCTAGTCCTGTTTGTATGCGGTCTCTTGCACGAGTTAGGAATTCCAGATTCGTACCTCCGCTAGATGACGTCGGAATCGTGCCGTACGTCGTCATTATGGCCGGCAATTGAAGAAACGGCGGCGATGGTTGGGATTAGTTGGTGCCTGAAATAGGGCGGTGGAATAGAGAGGGAGATCGGGGCGTGGATGTAGAGGTGCGATTCGCATGTGATCTCCATTGATTTAGGCGCGTCACTCAGTTAAATAAACAAATTGCTTCAAATAACACCCTACTTCTATATTCTAATTTTCTTTTTAAGTATCTTTTTGGAGAATTCCTAATACATATTTATGAAATTAATTAATTATATATATATATATATATATATATATATATATATATATATATATATATATATATATATATATATATATATAACCATTCTTAGGAATAGTAAACTAGGTGGTCTTTTGGTAGAAATGGTCATTCTTCTATTGTCTTCTGGCTTTTTTTTCCTGTTTTTGTGTTCTGGGCAGTTTATGCCATTTTATGTTCTCTCTCTCTCTCTCTCTCTCTCTCTCTCTCTCTCTCTCTCTCTTTTAATTTGGCATGATACCGATACATGGCTTCTTCCCTTTGTTTTCACCGCCAATCTAAACCAATAGATATTTGATTGGTGTTGATCAGTCACCGCCAACCTAAACCAATAGAGATTTGATTGGTATCGATCAGTCGGCTCTCCTAATAAAAGCCCTCATCCACTCGAATCCTTCCATCAAAGTCGACTACTCCACTGCCCATGCTCCAGCGATGGCAAATCATTTTCTCACCTTGTTCTCTTCGGTCTCTGCGAACCCTAAATCCATACCACTGCCATCTCCAGATACGCTTTGACTGCCACCGTTGTCTCCAGCGTCTCTGGCTCGCCCACACCAGCCTCACCACATCCTCATCAAATGATCTCCAATCTACTACGTGTCTTCCACCGATATTTCTCTCTAATCGAATACAATTCCAACTGATGCAGTTTATGGTTTTGCTTCTGATTCGTGGTAGGTTCCTTTCCCACCATCAATAAATTTCTGGTGGCACGCCAAGTGTTTGACATTTTGCTTCGGTGAAGTTCATCGTATATTTTTATATGGACCCTTTATCGGCTGACTTACCGGTTCAGATACTGGTACCGGAAGGTATAAGCTTCCTTTCCTCTCATCCCACATCCTCATTTTTTCAATTTTTCCCTTATAGGATTTGAATGATGAAGCAATCTGAGCTTTAAGAGCTAGAAAGGTTTTAGTAGTTCCAACCGATGCACTCTACGGTTTTGCTTCTGATTCGTGGTAAGTCATTGTGGATTCATTGGTTTTCCAAGACCATCGGTCTTCTTCCTCAGCTTCACTGACTGAAAAACATTTGAAATCGAATTTGGGGATTTAAGTGAATATCAATTTTCTAATTTCTAATTTCTTTATTTCCAAATTCGAGCCAAAATTGATCGGCACCACTTGGGGTCATAGGCTTTCTTTTCTTCCCTCCACTTACCCGATTTGTATCCATTTTTCCTGTCGGAGTCGTCATCTTGGGATACTTCATGTACTAAAAAGAACTCATAAAGCTCCTTTCAGCAGTTAATGCATTAGATACTTACAATTAGCTCCTGGAGAGATTTTCTTCACAACTATAAAGGCCAGATTCCCATTTATAAAATATTTATTATGAAAAAAGTTAGATTTTCATGAAATTCATAACATTTATTGTAATTGTAGGTATCTGGGTACTGTGACATTCTCTCAGGAAGCGTTGTGATTGTCTATGAAATCATAGCATTTGCTCTGCTGGGTTTAACAAAATCAAAAAGAAAATTGCTAGGTCCTTTTGTTCTTGGATCCTGGATTCTATTCTATTATGGAATTGCATTTTCCTATTATGTTCTCACTTCAGCTATTTAAAATTTTTTCGTTGCTTACGCAGAAAGGGTTGTGGAATCACTATGGTCGATTGATCAATATTTTGAGTTTGTTCTCGTGCTTACGTTCAATACCTGACATGTACTTATTTGAATTGGAATCGAAATCTACTTAATGGAATGGAATGGAATTGGATAATGTAGATGGTTTTTCATTTTTGCTTTTTATTTATAATTTGATTAGTGATTATACAGGTTCAGTGATACAACTGTTACTAGGTCAAGTTGGTTTGGTGTCTAGGGATCAAATGTTGTCGATATGGAGATATGTGGTTGTTGGGGCAATTATTGCTACAACTATTGTGACTCCATCAACCGACCCGTTGACTCAGTTGCTTCTGGAAATGATGATGATGTGGTAGCACAGATGAAGCCTGCTGAAGAGCTTCTCACAACTAAGGAAAAGGTAATTCAAGCTACTTGATGACTGCTTTAATCATTTTGGTATTTTTCCCTTTATTACGCAATGGACTTAATGTAGACGTAACCTAATACTTTAATTTATATATGAGGATGCTTCCATCATCTTTAGGTATGTCAAATTCTTCCTTCTTCACTTTTCCATCATCCCATCTGATCCATCTTTCTCCGGTGACATCGTCGGCCCTCACACATGCGCCTGCCCAACGCTAGTGTAACGCCCGGGTTTCAGGGCTAAGCATTTTTGTCAAGTAATAGTCTAGGTCAACTATTGTAACTCTTTTTGAAGTAATAAATATGAAATATTTGAGTATTATGTGAATTATGTGTGTTTGTGTGTTTATTGTTTAATTATAAATGTATAATTAATAAAGAATAAAAATGAGCGTCAAAATTAAAGTGTGAGATAATCCCGATATCTCTACATAAAGTTGTAGAATATGTCTCAAGGTTTCCGTACATATAAAGAACGCCGAAATCCGAGCTATAACGAAGAAGTTATGGCCCGCCGAAGTTTTACGGCAAAACCGGCACGGTACCGGGAGACGTAAATAGTGAATTTACGATAGAAGACTTTTTAGCCTTAGCAATCTAAACAAAAGTCGTAGAATATGTTAAACTAAGAACATCGATAAAAAGAACGCCCAAATTTGACTTCGTATGAAGAAGTTATGAGATTTTAAACAGACCAATCATGTCCCGGCCTGTTAAAAATATAACTTTAAAAATAAAGTCAAAATTAGCCGACGGAGTCTAAACGAAAGTTGTAGAGTGCGCCTCCACCTACGCGTGGATATAAAGAACGTCAAAAACGGAGTTCGTATGAACGAGTTACAAATTATAATAGCATATTTACATATTAAAATAAAGTATAAATCATGTATACGTACACATATATATATATACATATGTATATATCATTAGAAAGGTATCGACGATGCGGTCATTATAAGACTAATATTGAGTTCTTTCGACATTAGTTTAGTACAAATATCATTAAATCCATTTAAAATAGTATTATAGAGGGGTGTTTAGTTGTTTATATAACTAAAAGGTCATTAAGTAATTATGGAGGGTAGTTTTTGAAAATTCAATTAGTATAAATAAGAGCCTTGGGCTCTCATATTTCTTGCACCATTCTCTTGATTCAAGAGTCTTTCTCTCCTTATCCCCCGAGCATTTCGGTCCCTCGTGATTCGACTTCTCTTTCTGTAGTTTAGTATAGTAAGGTGAGCGCTGAAGCGCTGCACGAATCTTTCTTAGAAGGATTCAGCGACGAAGTTTTGCCCCTGCAGAGCCCGACTCCTAGCTAAAACCTTCTTGTAAGTAAGTTATGCTTACCTTATTTTAATATAGCTTATATTTAAAATTAGTATTGTTATTATGAACTTATAATAAATACTTGGGCTATTATTATGGGTTATATAAGTAATTTTTTAACGCTTATATAATAATAATAATAATAGCTAGACTATTAATTAGTATCGGCGAATAATAGACTAAACTCTAGTGGTAATAATACTAGGTTTCGTCGAAGAAAATTCTATTTAAGAAGCGAAGCGCTGTCTGAGTTCGGAATCACCACCTTTTCAAGTGAGTGCATAGTTACTTTCAACTTACACATAGATATGAAGTATTTTATATAAATTACGTGCTATGCGTGCATATTATCTGAATACTTGCTATCTATGCTAGATGAACGTTGTTATACATGTTTTCAATGATTTAAACTGTATATGTATTTTATATCTACGAAAATGTTGGGGTAAAACATGGGTAGATGTAATAGGTGATGTGTGATAAAATGATGAGAGGCCTCGATGTTGTTGTTGTTGATCCAGTCATCTAGCGGAGTATAGATGACGACCACGGACTCTTCTAGACAGTCCAGTGGAACACTAGCAGGCTCGCAACCTGTAGGTGTTGTGAACGATGTGTTCACCGGTGTACTCCATCCTCCACATGGTTGCCTATTAGGACATTTATCGCTGAGGAATCCCCTTAGCAGTAGTGTCCGTCCCGATGATGATCCTTAGGCTAGGTCCCTTATGATAGGTGTTTAGGGACATAAAGTGAGGATAACGGGAACGGTTAATCGGATTATTGTTGATTGATGAAATTAATAAACTTATTTATTGTGGGTTGAAAACCCTATGTGCTCACCAGGCTCCTAAGCCTGACCCACTCAGTTTTATGTATTACAGGTAGTGGCGCATGAGCATAGATGTGATGTTTTGGACGAGGGATTACGGATATAGGCCTGTAGATATGAAATAATGTAGTAAGGCTTATATTGTACTGTTTATACTTTTGATCTGTATGAGCATGACATCCCGAGTCTTTTAATGAAATACATTTCTATGGAAATGCTTTTGATAAATCTTTATCATATTATTGTTTTGGGACAAATTCCGCAACCCTTTTATTAAAAGATAACTCTGATTTTGAAATAAAGTATAAACAAAACCGGTCTTTTTTTGGCCGTGATTTTGGGGATGTCACAGCTAGCATCCCAACTATACTCTTAACTTGTGACACCGACAGCAACCCAACATTCACCACTAACTGGAACTTCTAACCCACCAGTTACCACCATCGTCGATCTAAAATATGGTTTTGATATTCTTGCTTATCTTCTCCATTTCTGAATTGGATTTGTTAGTTGAAATTGATTTCTTCTATAAAAATGATTTTGATTATGATTTTCAAAAATACAGTTTTCTATATG